CCAGGGTGAGGTCATAGATGGTGAGGGCTTTGTTTGAGAGGAAACAGACATTTTGAAGGGAAATATAGGTGGGTTTGCTGGTGGGAGGAGAGGGAGGAGAGAGTGATGCGGAGAGGATTTTAGGGTGTACAGGAGAGATGACTGTGGAGAATGGTGTGAGTGGAGAATTGGGGAGGGTACGTATGAGGGAAGGAGAAATTGGGTTTGCCTTAAGGAGGCGGTTTGAGCGGAGGGAGTGAGTAATGGGACATGTAGGGTTGCTGCTCTGGGACAGCCAGTGCCTGGAGCCACGATAGGACTGGCGGAGGATGCCCAGGCTGGAGCAGAGGGAAGTGGTGATGGAGTTCAGGCGAGAGAGAAGGCGGGGTGGGGAGGGGGGTGCGGTGGGAGAGAAGGACAGAGTAGGAGTAGCGGATAGAGGGCGGTGGGAGGAGAGACATTTAGAGTGGAGTGGGAGGGGGAGGCAGCCGAAACATGGCAGTGCCAGGGGCCGCCAGACCATTGTTGTTGTTGTTTTTAATTATGACGTCACGTCAATGTCACTTTTATAATCAGCGCCAACCCGTCACCTATATACCCGCTGCTAGCCCTCGGCACCCTCCCGCGCTCTCCTGACTCCACTCCCGATTGAGTGGCTCCTCACCTCGCTGGGCTATATACCCGCTGCTAGCCCTCGGCACCCTCCCGCGCTCTCCTGACTCCGCTCCCAATTCCCGATTGTCACTCACTCTCAATCTATGACTGCTTGTGGGACACTACTGTGTGCAATTGGCTGCCGCGCTTTGCCCACAAACTATAATCAATTCACTTTACAGTATATTCTGTGAAGCACTTTGAGACGTCTCGAAGATGTGATAAGGCGTTATATCAAATACAAGAATTATTATTATTATTATATAATTCTATGTAACCTCTGAGAAAGCAGTACTGAATTGGAGTACCAGCCTAAGACTACAAGCTCAAAAACCTAACATGGGGCTTGAACCCAGAACTTTCTGACTCAAAGTTAAGAGTGCCACCAACTAAGCCAAGCTGACAGCGTTAGCCTCTAAAAGGATGTCATAATGTGAAATGTTGACTACAGATGGAGGGTACTCAGTGATTCTGACTGCTCTGCCTGCACTACTTGCTAAAGTGAATGCAATCATTAATTTATAGTGGAATTTATAGTGGAATTGCCAACAGTAGAATTATGAACCACATGTATTCATGACTGATTGATGTTTTGCTCTCCAATGCCGGATAGGTCCATTCCTTGCTCCAAAAGTATAGAGGAACTGCCACACAATAAAAATGTTTGCGTAATTGTTAGATTTCCCAGAGTACTAGCTGTTGTTGACCACACAAAATCACAAGAAATGTTCAGACAAAAAAGCTCTGTGACTCAGTTGATCCATTCCTTCCAGAATCCCAACCCTAATCGTCACTATTACAACATCATGTTGTGTCCAATATATTCATAGTTCTAGGAACAAAATCCATTAGGCCTGTCGACCTGCTCCACCATTACATCTACCACCTTTCCTCCGTCATCCACCTCAATGGGACCGCACTCGCCTGGTTCAAGTCCCTGCACTTCTCTGCACCCCCCTACCTCTCTGACCTCCTCTCTCCTCAAAACAGCACCCGTTGCCTTCGTTCCTCTGGTTCTCGCCTCCTCCTTGTCCCCCAAGTCCTCCGCTCCACCTTCGGCGGCCGTGCCTTCAGTCACTATGCCCCGAGGCTCTGGAACTGCCTTCCTCACTCCCTTCATCTCGCTCCCTCCGTTCCCATTTTCAGGTCTCTGCTGAAGACCTTTCTTTTCGACCCTGCCTTTGGTCACCTTCTTCCCCCTCCCCCTGGCTCGGTCCCGGGATCCAAAACTGTAAAGCGCTCTGAGACGCCGTCCGGCGTGGAGGGCGCTTTATAAATCCAAGTTGTTGTTGTTGTTCTTGTTGCCTCACAAACCACCAGCAGTACATCTGCACAAACGGCTTCTCCTCCCGCTTTCACCCAGTTACCTGCGGGGTACCCCAAAGATCCATCCTTGGCCCCCTCCTCTTTCTGATCTTCATGTTCCCTCTTGGGGATCTCATCCGCAGACATTGGATACATTTCCACATGTATGCGGACGACACCCAACTCTATATTTCCACCTCATTTTGCGACGTGAAAAGCGCTATATCAAATGCAAGGATTATTATTATTATTGTTTTGGGACCCCCAGTCCCCTGAGGTTCTGTCAGCCTACCTGTCAGACCTCAGGGGCTGGATGAGCGCAAACTTCCTTCAGCTGAACGTTGACAAGATGGAAGCCATATTCTTTGGCTTTCGTCAACATCTAAAATCTCACGGTTCTCACATCCTCCACCTACCCGACCTCCCCCTGAAACTCTCTGAACCCATACACAAGATAGGTGTCAGGCTCAACCGCCAATTATCCTTCCTCCCCCACATCTGGTCCCTCACCAGCACCGCTTTCTTCCACCTCCGACGCATCGCCCATCTCTCCCAATACCTCCCTCCAAAAGCCTCGGAAACCCTGGTCCATGCCTTTATCACCTCTCGGCTGGACTATTCTAATGCCCTCCTCACCAGTCTCCCCTCGACTACCATCCACAAAATCCAGATTATTCAAAACTCTGTCGCCTGCATTCTCACCCGTACCAAACTCCGTTCCCCAATTACCCTAGTCCTTGCCAGACTGCACTGGCTGCTTGTCCCAGAGAGGATCGATTTCAAGATCTTCACTCTTGTCTTCAAATCCCTCCACTCCTCTGCACCCGCCTACCTCTCTGACCTCCTCTCTCCTCAAAACAGTTCCCGTTGCCTTCATTCCTCCGGGTCTGGCCTCCTCCTTGTCGCCCGAGTCCTCCGCTCCACCATCGACGGCCGTGCCTTCAGCCACTATGCTCCGAAGCTCTGGAACTGCCTTCCTCACTCCCTTCGTCTCGCTCCCTCCCTTCCTATTTTCAGGTCCCTGCTGAAGACCTTTCTTTTCGACTGTGCCTTTGGTCACCTTCTCCCCCCTCCCCCTGGCTCAGGATCCATTACTGTTAAGCGCTCTGAGACGCCGTCCAGCGTGGAGGGCTCTATGTAAATCCAAGTTGTTGTTGTAGTTGAAGTGGGGGTGGGTGGGGTGATGGTTGATGAGTTGTGTTAATGCGGATATTGTGTTGCTGGCTGACTTGATGGGAATATTGTATTGATAGTTATATTAATTGTGTGGTGGGTATTTTGTTGTTGATTGGGCTGATGGAGGTATTGACAGCTGAATTGAGGGCTGTATTGATGGTGTTTTGCATTGATGGTTGCATTGATTTTTGTATTGATGGTTGTGTAGATTTGTGTTTGGATGACTGTGTTGATGGGGTGTGAATAATGATGTACATGGTGTACTGCATGGTTGCATTGATGGTTATTATATTGTTTATTGGCTGTGCTGATAGGTATTTAATGGTTGTGTTCATTTTTTTTTGGTCAGCTGGATGTCTGACACTTGTGGAAACCCATCATCAGTTTAAAAGTATCCAAACCAAGCTGAGATTTGCTTGCATCCCACCTATTCTGGAAAATCCAGAGATAGATCCTGATTACCTAATTCCGGAATTTGCCGCAGGGTTTGGCAAGAGCCAAGGCTTGGGGATCCCAGAGTGTGAATTGGGGGTACTGCTGGAGTTTAACCTACTAATATCAAATAGCTTGGCATTGAAAGCACTGTCGTTTCCATGGGGTATGGCATCGGTGGCTGTTTTGCTGCGGTATTAACAGTTGGGTTGATGGGTGAAGCTGGAGTTTGCAGGGCTAAGAGTTCAGGGATGTGGGCTGGTTTTGGAGTTGTGGAGCTGTGGATTAGGGATGTAGATTTGATATGTGGGGCTGGGAATTGGGGTTGTGAGAGTGAGGTTTGTGTGGGGCTGGGAGGGGTTGGGGCTGGGGAGGTTGGGGCTGGATGGGAGGTGGGGCTGGGGAGGGGGTTGGGGCTGGGGAGGGGGTTGGGGCTGGGGAGGGGGTTGGGGCTGGGGAGGGGGTTGGGGCTGGATGGGAGGTGGGGCTGGGTGGAGGCGGCCGGGCTGTGAGGTGCGGCTTGCTAGAGGGGGCTGTGGGGTGGGGCTGCTGGGGTGGGGCTGTGGGGGCGGGGCTGTGGGAGGCGGGGCTGTGGGGGCGGGGCTGTGGGTGGGGGCGGGCTGTGGGGGCGGGCCTGTGGCTGGGGGCGGCGCTGTGGGTGGGGGCGGGGCTGTTGGTGGGGGCGGGGCTGTGGGAGGCGGGGCTGTGGGAGGGGGCGGGGCTGTGGGAGGGGGCGGGGCTGTAGGAGGCGGGGCTGTGGGTGGGGGCGGGGCTGTGGGAGGCGGGGCTGTTGGTGGAGGCGGGGCTGTGGGAGGCGGGGCTGTGGGTGGAGGCGGGGCTGTGGTTGGAGGCGGGGCTGTGGGTGTGGGCGGGGCTGTGGGAGGCGGGGCTGTGGGAGGCGGGGCTGTGGGTGAGGGCGGGGCTGTGGGAGGCGGCGTTGTGGGTGTGGGCGGGGCTGTGGGTGGAGGCGGGGCTGTGGGTGTGGGCGGGGCTGTGGTTGGAGGCGGGGCTGTGGTTGGGGCGGGCTGTGGGAGGCGTGGCTGTGGGTTGTGGGCGGGGCTGTGGGTTGTGGGCGGGCTGTGGGTGGGGGCGGGGCTGTGGTGGAGGCGGGGCCTGTGGGTGTGGCGGGGCTGTTTGGGGCGGGGCTGTGTGGAGGCGGGGCTGTGGGAGGCTGGGCTGTGGTTGTGGGCGGAGCTGTGGGTGGAGGCGGGGCTGTGGTTGTGGGCGGGGCTGTGGGTGGGGGCGGGGCTGTGTTTGTGGGCGGGGCTGTGGGTGGAGGCGGCGCTGTAGGTGGGGGCGGGGCTGTGGTTGTGGGCGGGGCTGTGGGTGGGGGCGGGGCTGTGGGTGGAGGCGGGGCCGGGGTTGAGGTCGGTGCTGGGAGTGGGCGGCGCTGTGGCTGGTGTCGGGGTGGGGGGGGGAGCGGCGTGTTATTGGCGGCTCGTCCAGGGCGGCGGCGGGGGGCGGAGTTTGTGTCACAGCCGGAGCCGAGCGGCAGCAGTTGGAGGCGGAGGTGGCGGCGGCGCCATGGATCAGTTCCCGGTGCAGGCCGCTCTGCCCGGGATACAGGTGAGAACCGCGGCCGCTCACGTCTCATCATCGGGCGGCTGTAGCCAAGGTTCAGTGGCGGCTACAGGAGAGGGAGAGGCCGAGGTTCGGGAGCGGCTGTAACTCATGGGCTACATATTCCGGGGCCTGGGCTGCCGCGCGGGTGTAGATTAGTACCGGATGCCGCCCGCCCTCGGTTGTTCCGCGGGCCCTCGCCTCTCCCGGCCGGTCCCGGGGCCGCGGTATCCGGGCCTCCGCTGTACCAGCGCGGCCTCGGGGAAGCGGCGCCCCGGCTCGTAGCCTGGACTGTAGGCGGCGGGTTCACAGCCGAGCATCCCCCCCCCCCCCCCTCCCGCCCTAACCCAGGGAGCCTCCTGCCTGGAGGGAAGTTTGTGGGGTTCGGGGGCCGCACAGAGGGGCAGTCGGGATCGCTGGTCATTTATTCTGGAAACTTTCCCGGTGAGTTTCATGGTTATCTGATCCCCCCAAATCCGTCAATTCCAGGTGGACCATAAAGATGCCACAGTCCCCCCGATAATGCCAGTGATTCACTTTATTGCTGTTTGTAGGACATTGGTGTGTACGGATTGGCCGAGGCGTTTGCCTGCAAAATGCACAGTCACTACACTTTGCAGTAAATCCTATGAAATGCTTTGAGAGGTCCTCTTGTTGGGAAAGGCGCTATATCAAATACAAGGATTATTTGATGTGAAAGTTCATTCCCTTTTACCTCTTCCTCCACTCTCTCATCAGTTACTTAAGTAATGTTTGCAGAGGGTGACATGCGGGTGCCCACATATGAGATGGTAACATGTCAGATGGCAGTGAAGAAATTAGTTATACACCTGTTTTAATAGTCATTACAATTGGTACGGTGATGTGAAATGTCTTGGAAGTGCTTCATACAGTGAGTTACTTTGAAGTGGAGTGTTGCCTGGAGTGGTGTTGCACTGTCGGCTGCCCAGTAATACACCACGCACAAGCTTTTTTACCTCTTTTGTTTAGATGTATGTCATCATCTGCTGAGGTTTTGATTTCCTGCACTGTGATGTTGCGCTTGACATGGCAAATGTGGTGTGAAATTGCACCATTGGTCATGTGCTGTGTATAGTGGAATGCTGTTTGAACATCACATCTGAAATGGCTGATTAACTGAACTAGCTATGCCTTTGCTATGCCTTATGTAAGTGTATGATTATGTATTGTTTTTCTTGCTGAAATGTTTTTTTCATGGTGCAACATTGAAATCAGTATGCAATTAGTAATGCAAAGTATTTATCTGAATAGGAGTGTTTCCTGAACTGTTTGGGTAAATGCAAACACCCTGCATGCAGTCTATCAAAGCATATTGCAGTCAATCATAGTTGATCTGTATTTTAGTATAAATCCTTGTAAGTCACTGTCATGAAACTCTGTATTTTACAACTCTGAGAGAAGCTGCAGGTTTAACTGTGAATGCAAGCAGCCTCCATTCTGAATAAGGCAAAGCTCTATACTGATCTTACGTATGTATCCACGAGATTGTTTGGTCAGTATAAATCTCCCAAAAACAGTTGCACGCAATTGATGATGAAAAGCAGCTTTGTTTGTAAAAACTAAAAGGCGGTAGAAGTAAGAGGTTTTAGAGACTTGTTTTCTTTGGTTGTGATCCTAGATTAATATGGACAAATTCCCTGCAGCTTTCCTGCTTCTGTACAACTGGTTTATGTTTTTCGCTTCTAACAGGGACCAGGGTCCTATTTAGGAGACCTCTATCCTAGTCACAGTAGCCTGTTTGCAACCCGTGATGTTGCCTAAAATATATATTAAAAAAACAGCTAATTTAGTACGGCAACAAAGATGTTACATCTTTGTAGCAGTTCATCATGTTGAAGCATCCCAAAGTGCTTTGCAGGTAATTGTTGTCAAGTGCAGCAACTGTCCTTTGTAGGTACATATGACAGCCATTTGGCCAGCAAAGTCCCAAACGTGAGTTAAATGACCAATTAGTCTGGAGACATCTAAAGGATCCAGTTGCCCAGGAGAAACTGACCACTTTTTGAATCTTGTCATAGAATCTTCAATGTTGACTTCTGATCTCGGTGAAAGATTTCTTCTGATAATGCAGAATCCCAACCCCCTCCCGTACTGTACAGCAATGTCAGCCTAAACTCTGATCTCAAGTCCCGATGAGTGACTTGAATCTACAACCTCAGATCCAGAAGCGAGAGTGCTATTTATAATAATAATAATCCTTGCATTTGATATAGCATCTTATCACATCTTGGCGATATCTCAAAGCGCTTCACAGAATACACCGTAAAGTGAATTGACTGTATTTTGTGGACGAAACACGGCAGCCAATTGCGCACAGCAGTGACTCACAAACAGTTGTGGATTGAGTGACAATATTTTTTTGAAGGAATTAGCCTGGAAAAGCAGACCGGCAAATGACTAACAAACGGGTTCCTGCTTATTGCTAGGCAAACAGAGATGTGTGGAGTAAGGAAACATTCCCTGCCAGGAATCAAACCCCAGTCTCTTGCTTGCGAGGCGAATGCTCTAACCACTGGACTCCACAATAGATCCAGACTGATGCCTGAGGTGGTTCCTAAAGTTTTCTCCTAACAATCTTACAAGGAGTTTCTGATAACTGCTATCCACCGAGTGAGGACCAAAACTGCACCTAATGGGTGTCAATGCTCAATTATTCGGTGGTGGTGTGGGGGTTGAGGTAGGTGGGGACTTATCAGGCCTGAGCTGACTCCCAGGTGGCATGACTTGACAATGGATTGTGTTCATTCTCTTTGGTCACAGTAGTCTAGTTTGTGACTTGGGCAGGTCCATGGCTCTAATGATGACAGGCTATCAACAGGACTAGGAATGGCAGACCAGTCACTGGCGACTGGGATTCTTTCCACTTGCCTCCTGTTAACCCTGCAAGTGAAGACCCTAATGGCTAGTGTGGTCCGAGCTGGACAAGCAATGGAACGCTTGCAAGGCAGCTTTTGTAATACCAAACTGCACGGTTTCAGCTGGTTAAATTCCAGCAGTACCCCAACGCCCATTCTTAGGTCACCATGTCTCTGTTCCTGGTGTAGGTAGTATGCACGTGTGGAACTCGGTTTTGGATATCCTTCAATCTGATGATAGATTTCCATCACACGTGTCAAACATCTGGTGGATGCCAAAATAATGCTAACAGACATTTGCATAAGGGCATAATATCCAGGAATCTGTTAACAATTTTATACAAGATAACCCCTGAACATAAGTTGCACATAAGGGGTGCAGGTGTTGAATTGTACTTTCTGTTTTCTCAAGCAAAATTTTTATGAATGAAATCTCATGACACAATGTGAATGTACGTACATCGTCTTAGTGACACAGTAGTTGGCCTGCTTCATATTATTAAGCCCAAACCTGACATCTAAATATACTGCTACTTAGTAACAATGTCTGTGTTGGTCCTTTAATGGAAGTACATAACCTGAGAATTTTGAAAAGTACTTAAAATGATATTCAAATTGCCAGTGGTTCAAAGAAGTAATGCATAGATAATAAAAAGATAGAATTTATCTGTGCATTCAAGATTGAAAATATATTTTCACTGTTGATTTAGTTGCTATCTTGAACACGGTTTGAGATCTGATTTTTTTTTAAAAAATACCCTGAAGTGTAACTATTAGTATTGTATGCACTTTAAGCAATACATGAGAGTAAGTGTATACTAGCCCACCAATAGAAAATAACGCATTGCTGTATATTACTGTACATTTAAATTTGACCAACACAAGAGGGTTTTATTTTACAGGAAATTGGCAGTGCTTTACAGCCTTGCCATGCTGGTTTAAGCAGAAGTTTAATGTCTGTGGTTGATCTATCTATTAAGCAGCTGCTGAATGATTTTCATAAAATTAGTAATTCCATAAAATATTGTGTTCTAGTTGTTTTGTATGTTTTGTATCTTAAAGCCACTCTGATTTATAGAGAATTTGCTTTGTTCATTTTGAAATCTGCTATATTGAATTTTGTCTGTGTACATCGTGCATGAATAGATTGGTTGTTAGTGTTATCTCATTTAGCACATTTGGTTGAGCACCATCTTAAGGTCCAGAAGGTTTGGGATTTGAATCTTCACCCTTTTAGCAATGCATAGAATAAATACATTGTCATTTTCTTTTTGAGTTGGGAAGGGGAGGGAGATGTGGAGTTGGGATTTGTCTCCCTGGGGTTTGAATTATTTCTCGTGGAACACACCTGGAAAGTCAGACAATGCACAGTGCTGCAAGGCAGTTTTCGTGATCAAGCAAAATGTGTGGCTTATCAATGAGGTGTAGATATTTCCTCAGCTTTATAAGATAAAACTGTAATGGGAAGCTCAGTCCTCCCTATAAACTAAAGCTTTAACAGTGAGTGCAAAAAATATACAGTCAGTTCACTTTACAGTATACTCTGTGAAGCGCTTTGAGATGTCTCACAGACGTGATAAGATGCTATATCAAATGCAAGGGTTATTATTCTCCCATGATACTTACTTATGGCTTTTGTTTAAAAACTTTTGCTGTTACTGTTTTTCATCAGTATTGCTGAACTGTAAATGACTCAAATGTATCAGAAGTAATCTTTAAAGGCACTATTTTGTCTGGTGTTATGTAACCATGCTGTAGAAACAGTTTTTTTTAATTATACAGTCTAATTGGGTGCTGAGAATTGTAGTAGACTGTCTCCAAAAATAGTAACATTTACTAATTAACAGATGAAACGCTTTGTAAATTTGTCAGAGTAAATTATTCATTTACAAATAGGAATTGAGAGCATTGAGTTAGTTGCATTGAAAAGTGCAAGTCAATTACAGTTTTTTTTAGGGAGGGATGGGATTGATACTTTAACAGCCAAATTTCCTGAAGACATATTTTCAAATTATTATTAAAAAATTTGAAAATCTATTGCCAATCATGTTTAATTTATTACTGTGATCCCAAATCTCTCACTTTGGGTAGGACTGATGTGCCACCATTCACAGCTCTGTAATGTTGAAC